AAAAATGTGAATTTTGAAATGTTTTATCCCCGTTAATACTATAAAAAATATTTTTGTCGGAACCACAACATTTTTCTCATCTCGTAAATGAAATTGTTTCAATCATTATGAAAAACAAATTGATATTATTATTGATATTTGATTATGAATTGCACATGCTGTATGTCTAATATTAATTATTAAACCTCTACCTATACTTGAACTATAGACCTATATATCTCCTAGATTAATTAAATATAATGAATGTTACTACTAGATTCAGTATAATCTACAGAACATGCACAAATTTTAATTTAATTTATCTAAAGGGCACCTTCTCTTTACCCTTCTCTTTACCATTCTCTTTACCCTTCTCTTTACCCTTCTCTTTACCTTTCTCTTTACCATTCTCTTTACCATTCTCTTTACCCATCTCTTTACCCTTCTCTTTACCATTCTCTTTACCCTTCTCTTTTCCATTCTCTTTACCATTCTCTTTACTATTGTTTTTACCCTTCGTTTTCTTTCTTTTACTTTACCTTTCCCCTTCCTTCTCTTTCTTTAATCCTTTTTCTATCATTTTTCTTGTTCTTTTTCCTCCATCTCAGTTTTCGCTTTCTCTTTGTCCTTTTTTCCGACTCTCTCTTTTTCTTTTCCCACTTTTCTCCACTTTAATCATTCTTCTAATTTTAATCCTCTTTTTCCTGCTTGTCCTTGACCCTTTATTTCTCCCTTTTCTTCCTTTATATTTATCTCCCAGTTCAGACCCCCCAAACCTCTTCAGTGTTAAAGGCTGGAGGGTTTTCAAGTAATTTTCTCCTGCATCAGAAATAAATTAGCGGCGAACCTAATGTTTTGTTCGGAGGTTAACTACACCAGAACAAATGTTTCATTTACAAAACGAATTCATGTTACTTCCGGCAATAGCATTGCATTTAAATTTAGTTAAAGAGAAGAGGTAGGGTTTTGAAATGTTTACTAAAAAAAATATTTAAGTCTGTCGGCACTGTTTAGTGGACCTGGTTTATCTTATTTCAAAATCACTAGCTAGCTACATCAGGGCTGCATAAAATCTGCATGTTCTGCAAAAAATGTTGTATCATGTTTATTTTATATAAAGCTTGTCTCATTGTTCTATTATTAGCTTTCATACTTCAAACTTTAGATTCATGATCTCACAGAAATCATAGAAATATAAAACGGTCTATAACGACATCAGGATGCAAAGATTTAAGGATTTGAGAATTATAGAATGAGGCATGTAATAGTTCATTTTCTGTAAGCAGGGAGTTAATTGAAACTGTTTCATCAAGCCATTTAAAGGGACTGTAAGCACAATTTTGAGTGACCATTCATGCAAAGATGCCAATGCCTGATTCACAACGGTACCCTTAAAAGCTTTGTCTGATCAAGTTTAAATTAGAAATTGTGAACCTAGAAAAACGATATCATCTTCCACATTATTGATCAGATAATGGTTTCAAGAGTATCGTTATGAATCGGACATTGCCATCTTAGCATGGAGGGTTACTTGAAATTACACTTTCACGTTCAGTCCCTTTAAGGCCCAGTGATATAGATTAACATTGAAGAATGCAATTACTTGTTTAAATCTACCAATACACAAGTAGACAGCATACAATATATTTAATTTCAATATTTCAAACCAAACCTGCTGACAGGAAGCATAATTGCTTTTCAACCAGGGGTTTACAATGTATACAGTTTCCTTAAAGGGACTATTATTGTAATTTCAAATGAATCTCTAATAAAAGAGTTGAACGCCCGATTTACCAGTGCACCTTTATCTGAGCCACAATGAGGCAATGTCGTCATTGTTCTTTCTAAAGTGTTAAATTCTGTCATTTTTCCTTTTCCTTAAAGCTGCATAAATCCCTAAGTCATCTTTTTATAATTAATAATTGATCATTTTTCAGAGAGATGGTTAAAAGAGTACTGGAATCATGAAGGTTTAAAGAGTACTTGAATCAGAAGGTTTAAAGAGTACTTGAACCAAAAGATTTAACGAGTACTTGAATCAGAAGGTTTAGAGAGTACTTGAATCAGAAGGTTTAAAGAGTACTTGAATCAGAAGATTTAACGAGTACTTGAATCAGAAGGTTTAAAGAGTACTTGAATCAGAAGGTTTAAAGAGTACTTGAATCAGAAGGTTTAAAGAGTACTTGAATCCGAAGGTTTAAAGAGTACTTGCATCAGAAATGCCTCTCTTTAAATGTAGGGTAACATGAAATAATGTTTACAGTCTCTTTAATACTGTTTAAATTATTTAATTAAAGAACCACTTTTTGTTATATTTCCTGCACGATGTAGACGGTTAGTCTGTTAGTCTTATAATCATTAGTCATCTACATTTACAGGGTGAATCAGAAATATAATTTTTTTCTTTTCTATAATTAATCATGCTAAAAGGTAATTGCTTGTTGTTCAAAGGAGTAATTCAATAAATCGCGTTCTTGTTCACCCTGTAGACGCTAAAAGTGATACACCCTCGAACTTTCATAATTCCTTAATCACCCTGTAGATGCCAATTGTTCATCTGCAAATAAGAGAATGCAACAGCGGCAATTTGGGATGACCGCGGCGGTTGCCCTCGGCGATATTAAGTATTAGGTCGGTATTCTAAACTGATTAGCGTATTTACAATCAATGGTCAGATGAGAGGGAGGGGTTCATGCACATACTTAACTCAAGCCGAGGAATTTATGCATTCATGAACTAGATTCCTCAATTGATAAAACAAACCGATCCAGTTTTCAGATTTTCTTTAAATTCTTGTTTGTGTAATTTAATTGAGAACAAAAAGGATATGTCTCACGGTAAGCCGTAGTACATTTGAATTTCCGAGCCGGGTCAACATTTCCGGTCTCATTTTGTACTGTATCGCCCGGACATTGGGTTAATAAAGCTGACACTCAATAGGATTAGCCGGTGCAACAAGGTTGACGCGGTCAGACTTTAGGTTGAATTTACTTTTATTAAACGATCAGAGGTGCGTTGTCTATAATCTCAAACACATTTTGAGAAATAAACTAATGAAGAGCCGATCAAAAATAACACGGAAATTCAGTTTGTACATGGTTACCCGTGAGTGAGACCTTTATAAAGACATAAAACTTTCTAAAAATATCTATTTGAAGGCTAATTTTATATTCTGTTTTCAATAAAGCTTTTTATCGGTATGTGGAATTATTTGGCAAAGAAAGCAGTGCAGGCTAACAAGGAGGCGAAGGTCAAATTTTGTTACGACTTTGTGACTCCGTTGCTCCTCTAGATCTGATTTTATGCTCAAGTATAAGAAAAGCTAATCTATTCGAGTAATTATTATAAATTCAAAACATTTGTACTTCCCAAAAGCTAATTTGCGATAAGAGGAGTTATGATAAAAAAACATTTTAGATTTCAATATTACGTGCATTTTACTTTAGTTTGACGTGAAAGAAAAGACATCTGCACAAAACGAGAAGAAAAAAAAACATATTTAAGGTTCGTGTACAGTCATATCACAAGTGTCAACAATTGTGCAGGTAACCCGGTACAGTGTACATTAGATAGGCTTTATTAAATAGTTGAATCGTATTCCAGACAATCCCAAACAAAACTTTTTTGTTAGCCATCTTTTTTTGAGAGCAAGAGTGTTTTGGATTGACATAAACCGATCTTTTGATTTTTAAATCCTAATTTAAGCTTAAATTGTCTGCTTTCTTTAATTATGAAATCAACGTAATTAGGTAGAAAATTTTAAAGGACATTTTTTTAAATAAAAAAACAGCAGAAGCAATGCTTAACTCGACAAAATAAACTGCTTTGATATTTACTGCAAACCAAGATGTGCAGACTAGGGCCCTGCACTGTGTAAGGCTATCATTACTTGGTTAACAGTAAGATTCCTGCATAATTGTTAAACTTAACAACCATTAACTTGTCCTCAAATGGTTGAGAATTTACAATAAATTCACCCGCCTGCATTCCTCAAAACACTCAAGCCCTGCTTTTAAGGTTTAGATAAATGAACCAAATCAATCAGAGGAAATCAACTGAATTTGCAAAATTATGGGGACGTAAAAATTTGCTAGAAATAGTTTTCTAATCATAAAAAGCATTAAGAATAACTTTTATGTTGCCTGTATCAAAGGCTAGATCCAAAAATTACAATTGTAATAAATATTTATAACACTATTATCATGGTTCTCAGTGCCATGCTTTAAAGGTTTTGGACAGAATTTTTTTTAACAAGAAGAGACACGTTTTTTTAAGATTATATTTTGTCCCAAATTTTAGTGAAGGCCAAAAACTTTATAACACGTTGTGATATGTTAATAGTCTTATTGGTATTGTAATGAAATATTTGTTTAAACACTGTCTTGATGCACAGATTTTTTCAATAAATATACAAGATTTTTTCAAAGCATAAACAAAAAAGAGGCAATTTCAATTATTTTTTTTAATTAAAAAAAAATTATCCTTTAAATATCTGGGAACCAAAAAAACTTTATAGCACAACTAGTGCCATGATACAGCTAATGTAACATTATTACACATTACATTATTACATACAAAGCACTGCATACAATAAAAAGTGAGCATCATGATAAAGAGCACCTAATGCCAATAAAACTTTAAAACTATCGAAAAGGGGGTTGTATTTCCATTCACAAAAAAATATAAAACACGTGCTTGAAAAAAGAGACAAAGACAGAAATTCTTTTTTTGTAATTTTTATATGGGCCAGTTATAGTATTTGTTAAAAATAAAACTATAGTCTGATATTTTTTAAGGAAAGCATTCGATTGACAGTTTATTAAAAATTATATTAAGATATTTCTTGACAGAAACTTCTTGTAAAATAAACAATATTTAGCAATACATATTTTAATTATCATCATTGTTATTATTGAGCAGTGCGAAGTCGATTAAGTTTAATTTCTTTAGATTGATATTTTTCAAGATTTTATTGTTTTCTCTTGATCAAGTTTATTCGGATTTAAAGGAAAAAACCTGTCCTGGGGTGAAAGGTTTGCGGCCTCTTCAGAGTAGAATTGAAGGACAGTTTTACTTCAGACCTCACAGAGACAACATGAACTGTGCTCTGTGTAAAGATATTATCCTAGATCAGAACCTGATAAAGGTCGGAGTTCTTTTTCTTCATCCATCCTGTCTCCGATGCTCCGTATGCGAGATAGAGCTGACTGAGAAGTGCTATGCCCACGACAGCACATTCTATTGCTTGGAGCACTACAGAAACAAAGCTAACTGCTCTGGGTGTAAGTTGGAGCTGAGAGAAGAAGAATCCGGGATCCATATTGGAAATGGGAAAATCTTTCATCCCAGCTGCTTCTCCTGCTCGTGTTGCGGAGTAGTCCTGGAGAAAGGAATGATGTTTGGTTTCTCTTTTGACTCCAGACTAGTTTGTGAGGAGCATATTTGGAACCCAGAGAACTGTGAACCTAAACCTGGGAAATTAGCAAAGTCGGAACAGGAGATTTTTGTAAATAACAGAGCGGACGAGGAGAAAGATGAAACCCTTCAGACCTTAGACCTGGAGCAGGACGAAGATCTATCAGAGGATGAGAAAAGGGAATGCAAGGACGGAAAGAGAAGAGGACCTAGAACGAATATATCCTCTAAACAGCTTGAGGTATTGAAGAATGTATTTAATGCATCTCCTAAACCAACCAGGATGATGAGAGATAACCATGAGAGTTATCCAGGTCTGGTTCCAGAACAAGAGAAGTAAGGAGAAGAGGATGCATCAGCTCCGGTTCAGTTCTCACACTGGATCTTCTCTAAACCAGATTTATCCTTCTCCGGAGCATTATCTTCTCTCTCCGTCCTACCATTCATCTCCATCCTTTCTTCAATCCCAGGCCTACCTTCCTCCCACCCCCCTGTTCTTCCCTTCCCCTCCACATCAAGAAGGGGATGAAGCTATGTCTCCTTCATACTCCTTCCCTCCTCACATCTCCTTCCCCTCCCCAACCTACTAATTATTATCAAACATCAATCCTTAAATCTGTGATATTTATGTGTATACTAGATATTTATAATAAATGTAATTCAAACCAAATCTTTTAACTAATTTTGTTATTATTGAACTTGAATAGGAACATAAGAAAAACGAAGTCCTTAGATAGAAAGCATAGTAAGGATAGAAAAGATAGAAAGGAAAGAAATGGGATTCAGGATAGAAAGGTTAAAAAAAATAAGGGGTGTCAATTTATTTTTATATCTTTCAGTAAGCTGTTATTATCCAAGGAACATTATAATTATGTAAAGGGGGGGGGGAGGAGGTGAGGTGAGGGGTGATAAACACGGTCATCTACTTGTTTGTTGTTAAACATTATTGTTTTTATATTCTAATGGAAATGAGTTATTTACAATTATTGAACATACAGAGCTAAGAAACAACCGACAAGGGGAAAAAATTAAGCTTGATGAACAAAAAAGATGATCATTAATTTCAAAGTTACAGAAAAGCACAGATTTTATTTGTTTTAACTTTTACATTCACGTTATCTTAAGAAGTACAATTAGAAAGCACGTTTCTTAAACATTTGTTCTTACACTTCATTTCATTTAGTTTTGCGGAAGTCGTCAATTTGACAGATAGTTCGGCGTGAGGGCTGCTATTAATATTCTTACACCTTTAATCAGTCAAACGTGAACCATTACTATCTTCCTAACTATCTATCCTGTGAATAGAGGAGTGTTAAAGTGTAAGAATTTACCTATATTCTATACTTAGATGTACACTACACTACATATTAGCAATATTTAACGATTCTAACCATGAAACTATAAATATAACACGACCCCCTCCCCCTTATGAAATATCTACATGCAGGATCGTTTTCTTAGACAAAAACTTTTATTAAAAGGCGTAATTTCAAAAGGACCAATTATTAATCACCCATTAAACATTTTCTGATCAATAATAAATAAGATGTTCTAGCTTTTGGATTTAAAAAATTAATCGTGTTTTTTTCTGTAAAATTGACTTGCGGATTTTGAAAAGTTGGAACTATGGAAGGACATTATCATCATGGAATTAAACACATTTTAAGACAGAAGCACGACAATATCTTCCTCATTTATACTCAGATAAAGGGTTCCTTTGTGCCGTTGTAACTTTTAAGATTCCAAATTGTTTAAAAGAATCCAGAATGATGAAGAAGTATAAGTTCTTAATCTCTGTATAGTGTATCTGTCTAGAGTTCTAAATCTCTGTATAGTGTATCTGTCTAGAGTTCTTAATCTCTTTATAGTGTATCTGTCTAGAGTTCTTAATCTCTTTATAGTGTATCTGTCTAGAGTTCTAAATCTCTTTATAGTGTATCTGTCTAGAGTTCTTAATCTCTGTATAGTGTATCTGTCTAGAGTTCTTAATCTCTTTATAGTGTATCTGTCTAGAGTTTGTTTGCAAGAATCCTGATTCTCTGACGTTTATTTCTAGCTGTCAAGAATTCTGGTTCACACTGTATTGTATATGTTTCAGTTTGTTTGTAAGAACTCTGATTCTCCTTGTACATGTTCAAAGACAACAAAGTTAGTTGTTAAGAATTCAGATTCTCCCTGTATATGTTCAAGTATAACCACTGTGAATTCAGATTCCCCCTGTATATGTTCAAGTGTAACCACTCCCCCTGTATATGTTCAAGTATAACCACCAGGAATTCTGATTCCCCCCTTGTATATGTTCAAGTATAACCACCAAGAATACTGATTCCCCCCTGTATATGTTCAAGTATAACCACCAAGAATTCTGATTCCCCCTGTATATGTTCAAGTATAACCACCAAGAATTCTGATTCCCCCTGTAAAAAGGCTGGTTTGCCTGAATTGCAAAATTCTCTTTGAATCTGAGTACACAGGGAGCTTGGTGTCCAAGCGCCCTCAGGGTTGAAGGCGCGCGCTGTGCACTTGACATGTAAAGGATAAAATGGACGTTCAAGTAAAGCATTTAAGGAGGAGGGGGGGGG